GCGGTGCCGGTTTAGGATAGCATATTTTAGGTTTCTCTAGATATCGATTCTGAGAATAATCAGCAATATTTCTCGTGTAAGACCTTGTACTGCGCTCACCAACCCTCCAACCAAATATTTTAAGTCCAATTTGGGAGTAAATAAATGTCCAGCAGTAGACTGTTGTGGCTGTTGATGATATTATACCTAGTACGGAATGCAAACGCTATTGCATACACGGGCTAAGTTTTAGTTAGGTACAGAATTATTAATAGTGCTCTGTCTACATGCAGAGAGTACTTTAGTTGGCGAACCAGCTCCCCTAGCTGAGATACCGCACCGAGCCCCGCATAATGCACGAATACACTAAGTGAGTATTGCCGGGCGCTCAATACAGAGAGACGGCTACAAAGAAATACCATTGAATACTTATCCAAATTTTAAAACACTTCCAGTGTTAGGTATACATTTTTTTTCCCGCAGGCTGGAATTGAACCAGCTACCTTCGCCATCAGTACTAGCGACGCCTCTACCAACTGGGCTACAGCGGCTCACTCCAAGCCCGCGGATTAAGCAAGTGAATAAAATACTATCACCATCATCATAGTGTATGGCAAAGCCCTTCTTAGATCAAATGTCTAAATTGAGGTTTTTAAGCCAGCTCTCAGCACTTGGTGTGAATTTATGACAATACACTCACACACATATTTACACGTCGTCGTTTACGCGATAAACCAAACCGTCTCAAAACGTCAAGTAGTTGAGTGTCTACAGTGGTCGGTGCGGGCCAAAGTGCGGGCGGACGGCAAAATGACGACTCGCAAGTTAGTGCGTTATAGTGAAGTGTGATATAAATATAATGTAAGCATCAGGTGAGCACCTCATTTAAAAAAAAAACAGCAAGAGAAACTAGCATCCCTAGGGTAAGTATAAATAATCGGAAAAAGGGGCGAGCTGTCCTTCTGTACGTTCTCTATTTTGTGATAAATACCCGTACGTACGTCGGAGTTGAGCAACTAATGACGATAACGACGTTCATGATTTGTAGTTAGGTGCGTATTCACACAGATATATCTGTCTCACAACATTGTATGTATACAAAAGTTCCCCAATAAATGTACCACAAAATGTATCTGATACATTATATCTGAAACCAATCGCTGCACCGCGAGACACGCGTGCGTATTCACTCGGGACATTTGTCCCACAACATTGTACCTCTATATGAACCACAGAGAACCAAAACGTCATTCGCGGTCCCCGCGGAAAAGGTTTCATTTGTCTGTGATATGAACAATTTGTATCTCAGATATTTCATGGGGATTTGCATTGCAACTAGTTTTTATACAATGTCGTGAAATTATACAAATGGTCTCGAAATGTTTCCATATGAATACGACCTCTAATAAAATGATTTTACTTCATTATACAGAAACTACCGAAGTGGTTAATGGAAAAAATAAACTAATTATAAGGAACTCGTAAACAATCCAATCACAAAGTCCGATTGTCCCTCAAAAAGGTAGTTCTGTACAAAGGCGTCAGTTGGCTGCAAACATATTTATTTTACAATTCAACATCAGGTTGAGCTGTAGTTCATATTATTGACTTGGTTGTTATCATTTTTCTGAAATATCTAAAAGGAATTTGAGTAACCCCGATGCAAAATTGAAATCGGAATGAAATTTCACGGAAAAGCTTATCGGGCTTGCCAATCCCTCTGCTAGTATATAAATTCCAGGCATAGCTGGTACATCAGGGTCAGTATGGTAGCCAGCGAACCTTTCACTGCAATCACAAACTATAGAGTATACAGAAGGGTCACTCGACCCTATTTAAGATGCTCGCGATCGTCACTTGTTACATAGCCGGGATCGCATCTGTCAAAAATCTTAATGTATAGGCAAGATTATAAAAACAGCAAAATATGTTGTAACAAGAACCGTCATATCATAATTATGGTTCTAAGCCAATTTTAATCCAAGAAAATATGAATAATGGCAACTATCTTTTTAGTTTCCTTGAGTTCCCCTGAGATTCCAGTTATTCGTTCGTAAGCGTCAAAATCGTCGCTAGTACTGAGTGAGTCATCTGTAAAGTCGCACCGTCTCCCTACTTTGTGCTGCAATTAAACTTACCATCACTTACTCTAAAGAGTCAGAAAACGTTACAAAAAGTTCCCATCCCGCTATTGTTTGGCTGATTTATAAATTATGATTTTACTGCTTTTCCCGCTCAAACTACCTTTTAAAAAACTACGGTCACTTTCACAGGTTGTACACAATGAAAAACTTCAATCACGAAAAGGAATAAACTATAAATGGTTGTAAGTGAAACCCCTGAGCGGGTGGTTAACAGTGACTGAATTATAAAATTTTAGTTCGTTACCGCCATGTCGGTCCAAACACAAAATTTTATCAAAACCAACAAAATAAACAAGGAAAGTTCGGAAAAATAGTGGCCAAACCGGCGAAAAAACTAAATCCTGCATCCAACGTACTAATTGGAAAACGTTCAAAAAGAAGTGAGCTCGCGAACAGGGCAGCGCGCCTGTAAATAAACGTTATAGGCAGGGAGGTAGCGACATAAAATCGAAATGATTTTGTAAAGATATAATATTTTCAGAATGACATGTCACGTCATTCAAACGACAACCCAAAATTAAATCAACTTGAAAATGAGGTGCAAAGAAATTGAAAATAATGAAGTTTTCAGTTAAAGAATGAAAATTGTCACGAAGCTAATTTATGGTTAAAAGTTAATGAGTATTTTTCTCCACAATATCAAACGTATTTATTGCAGCAGTAGCTTCATTATTTTCGTAAAGTGTCGAATCGGTTTTCACATGTTTTTTATTATTCTGCGAGAATTACATATAAACAGGACTTCCCATCGAGGTTTTTAATCAGAGTATAACACTTTTACAGACGTATAAGTCTATTTATCATTTGTATACAAAACGTCCCTCCTAAATATGGGCTTCTTTATTTAGGTCAAAACCTAGAAGATGCTCTTCATTGCTTTTATGAACAGTAAGTCACTGAAATTGCAAAAGTGTAGTGAAAGCTAATAAAACGCCTCCATGTGGTGTGCGCAGTGAAGTGTACGAGGAACAGGGCTGCAGATGAAATCAAACCATTACGGCATTTCCAACGGCGTTTATTTTCAAAATAAACTCGAGAAATGAATGAATTACATTAAACTTTAAAAGATGTCTTTTGATAAAATAAAATCACATATTGGCCAGTCAAGGAAGGAGAATTGACAGCTACAAAATTTGCACAGATTAACATATTTTGGGTTGAACGTCACAGGCAAAGGTAAAAACAATTATACAGCCAAAAGTCATGAATAACATATTAACAAAAGCTAGATCAGGTATATCCCAAAACAAAACAGGTTATTTATAATAAAATGTAAGAAAACAGCGATATACGCGATATAGATACTTGTAAATATACGTTATCTTACCTTATTCTTTGAAATGTCAGCGGCTTACTGCTTCTAAATTCAACCGGTCAACCACTTTCGGCTACCAGACCTTGACCAAAAGTAGTCCTTATTCCTAAAATACTTTTGTTAATAACATTTTATTTTATTTTGATGTCGCGGCCGCTTTGACTATTTCACGGGTACATGCCAGTTCTGCATGTCAAAAATTAAGTTACAAGTTATTAAGTTTAAAAATATCTGACACGACATCCATGTTAGTAGGTAACTAAGTTATCTTCAGGTCCCGTATTTTTAAAATTGACCTGATTGAAATGACGTCATAGTTTTACCTGTCAGAAAGAATTGATGATTATTTTCTGAAAAATTGAGATGGGGGCGGGAATTTCAGCAGAGGTAATTCTCAGTAAGTGTCTATTAATAGATTTGTGAGATCAGGAAAAATCTACAGTAAAACATATTTATTAATAAAAAAATTATCAACATGTCTACAAAATCCAGTCATGTCATGTCAGGCAAGGTCCACAGTAAAACATTTTATTTCAAAATAAGTAATAAATTAACCAACATTTCACAAATTTGCAAATGGATCGTAATATTTTTCATCGGCCTGATAAAATAGCTGATTGAAAGCATATAGAGACAATAAATGAAAATGTTTCATTTATTTATACAAAAAATGAGTAACTTGATATTTTCTGAACACGACGATTCTTACCAGAGCTTTAAAATTAACAGTACTTTGATGTAATTTAAAAAAATGCTTATTTTATGCAATAGTTACTGCAAAGTTATTGCATAATACACCGCGTCCGCAGCTAGTCCAGTTACTGTGACAGTTAGTTAGAAATACGGACCATGAAAGGCGTTACCTCCACGCGTGAGACGTAAATCAGCGCCGAGACAGTTTCCTTATAAAGTGTATGAACCAGAAGAGACGCCGTCTACCTACACCTGTGAGAAGCGCGTCTCATCGTCGTCTCATGTCTCATGTCTCACGGCTTTCGTCTCGGGTGTGTAGATATCGCGAAACGGCTGCTCTGGTAGTAAACTAGCAGCGCAATAGTCGGACAGCTCCGCCTGTCTCAAGTTACTTCGTGGCTTCGTGGCCATACGAGTACATTTATTACACAAGACAACTTTTACTATCTATCTATCTACTTGAACAAATTCTAACTCCGTTCTCGTGAGCAAACTTTCAGACCTGGATAAACCTCCTCTCCCCTTTGAATCTTACGTAAAATACCTCCTATGTTGCCTACTATGCTAAACTTGTAGAAAGTACCAAAGAAAATGAAAAGAAGTAGGATCACATACCATACGCAACTAGCCAGTGTTACGCCTATAGGCCCTATTCACACCTGAGAGGTATCCGCTCGATACATGAGCACGCGGTATTCTGATTTCTGATTGGTGCAAATCAAGGAACCCATCCGGATACTGCGGAGCTTAAACTACATCTGTAAAGAATGAATTAGTCGCTTGGAATTAGTTGCAAAATATCCCGTAGATAGAGCCCTACCACGCGTTAGTGGTCAAGATACACTTGCTAATTCGCAGGATAGGAATGAGCTGCTGTAGCCCAGATGGTAGAGGCATCGCCAGTAGGGATGTCGAAGGTCGCTAGTTTAAATCCAGTCAGCAGTAGAAAACTATGCGAGATTTCCAAAAATTGTATACCTAACACGGGAAGTGTTTTAAAATTTGGTATGCAGAAGTAAATCTGTTCAGGTACCCTACGAGTAGATTAGATAGAACATGGTCAAAAAGTTAGTGCACTTGCACTCACTCTGTGTAATCCATTAAATTGCGCCGACCCAAAATAGATTGGGAGCCGATCACCTATTAGGTAGATAACTGTTTAATTAGGTAGTGCCTACTTCACGGTAATTAACGTGAGTCAGTTATTTCCGTTACTGACGGCAGCAGTTTGGGTTTGGAGAACCAGCATATTTTACTGATCAATATCAAGTGTAAAACATAAGTAACTGCAAACATTTGAAAGAGTAAACTAGCCCATGAAACTAATCAACTTTCCTCAAGAAAAATAGGGCGAAATATGAAAAAATAAATTTGGTCTTTCCTTAAGAATCAACTGAGATGGCTGGAACATTTTTGTATCTGAGGTCCATAATTTTCTTTCATAAATCTTTTTAACCTATGTTCCTTGAGGAAAGTTGTTCAGTTTAATGGGCTGGTTTACCCCTTAAAATCATAGCATTTATTTTTTTACACCTTTAGGTATACGTAGATAACATGAGGTGCTGTTTACAATTCAAATAACAAAATTTTTAAAGAACCACAAATTATTCAAATGAAAATGCACCCTGTATTTTCCTTTACTGAAAACACGTTGCATAAAAACTGTAGTTTATAATGCTTTCATTGAAGCATTACCTACTTTTAAAATGTTTATTTTTTATTTTTATGTCTGAACTGTTTCGGCGTGGTTGCCGTGTGATGCCGGCTTAGAATAGTATCACCCCATTTCTTTCCCGTGGGTGTCGTTAAAGTTGACAAAGAAGCTCAAGGGTCTCTTGTGAACTTATTACAACTTTAGACGTCAGGCTTACGAGTACAACCTATTTTTTAAACGGCCATCAAATATTTGTCAGCCATCGCCATGCGCCCTTTTTTACGGTCGTTCGGCTCTTCTTACCCCGTAAGGTATAAAGGCGTAAAAAATAATAGTTACACAATGTCAATAAATAACTTGTGAATCTACCGCGATATTTTTACTCGACTGCCTCAGTAGGAGGGTTATGTTTTTCGAGAGTATGTATGTATGTATGTGGACAAGAAAATTCTTTTTCACGGGCTACAGCCCAAACGGATTGTTGGATTTTGACATATGAGGTGTCGTTAGATTCGTCTCAGCAGCGCAAGTCACACGGGCTATGTTAAAAAAATTATAGATTCAAGATGGCGGATTTTTAGAGCGAAATACTACTTTAAAATTACTGCAGTCGGGTTTTTGTTTTCACATTTACTTGTTAGGGATGCAATAGTTATTAAATTAATAGTTATCGCACCAGCGATATCAGCGCATGTAACAAGGATTAAATAAAGAATGAGCAGTGATATGATATTTGCCGTGTGGTGCCAGCTTAAATTGTACCCATGGATGTCGTTAAAATCGACTAAGGGATCATAAGGGATTATCGTCCAAGGAACTGGCAGCAGCGTTCCCTATGAACACAAGATCTTGCTCTGCGCAACTCTCTGATGACAATATTTTAGTCGTAACGTCATGCGGATTTTCTCCCCGTAGACTATACAGGGAGTAACAGAAAGGGTATAACAAGCCGAAAAGAGGTCAAGATACTCATGAAACTGAACCGCTTTCCCCGTGGAACATAGGTCGAAATATGAAAAAAAAATTGGACCTCCCATACGAAATCGCCGATCAAATAATTGACTTACTATGGGAGGTCCAATTTTTTTTTCATGTAACAAGGATTATATAAAGAATGAGCAGTGATATGATATTTGCCGTGTTCCACAGGGAAAGTTGTTCAGTTTCAAGAGTACCTTGACCTCCTTTCGGCTTGTTATACCCTTTCCGTTACTCCCGTAAAAACCTACTGAACGAGCATGATTATTAACAATACTAAAATTATGTTTTGCGTTTTGAATCCGCTATTTTGATAAAAATAAATTGTTGTCCACATAAATAAATAAATATAATTTTGAAAAACATAACTAAAGCAGCCGGGTAAAAAAAAGAAAAAAGGAATTATGAAATGAAAACGATATTTGTTTGAACATTCGACGGCTTAGCGATATATTCGTTAATAGATTGCTTTTACATTTTACTCTCTCCGCTCGTTTTAAATATTGTTACCGTAAATGTGCGAAGAGCATTTTTTCGCTCAAAAAATAAATAAAATGTGATAATTATTTTTTTGAAATTTATTTCCCATTTTAGGTAAATACTTTAAACGTGTTGGTCACTTTATTTTAGTACAGAAAAATTGAAAACTGTTATCGATTTTCCTCGATTGAATCCATAACCCATTACATGCAAATACAAGTGATAAAATATCCTACACTTCAAAATCGTCTATCGTAGTGATATTTATGTCAAAATATACGAGAAACCAAAGCTCAGGAACATAATTCGCTTAATTTACTAAGTTAGCGCCCGCGCGCGGCGTTAGTATCTCGAGGTCAAGAATTTCCCTCCTCGCGCGAATTTACTGTGGAATAAAAAATTGCCTGAGGCGATTCCTAGCCTTGCAACTAATCTGTTTATATACAAATAAGTTTACCCATCAATAACAGCATTACGTAGGTACTATCACGAGCAAATCCATCCACTCATTTAAGGGATAAACTTTTAGTGGTTTTTGTTAGTATTTGTACGAAAAACCAGTAAAATTTTGTCCCTTATGTAGGTAGGTGTATTTCCGGACTGAAAAATGTTATCAATGTTATCATATCAGTAGTTTCTGATACAAAGAAACAATTAAATTAACATAGGTACTCGTATTTTGACATATAGCCTTTCATTACTACGCTAAAAGTTCAATTAAATTACTGAAAATTGAACAAAGAAAACATACAATTATAACGGCGGTAAATTCTAGCGGTAGCGGTATAGCGGCGGTAAATTCTGGAATAATAAAAAGGGATGTCCATATGTATTTAGGAAAAGTCATTAAAAAAAATAAAGTTCTATAAAAACAGATATACTCAACAATATGGTCAGTAAGGGCCCTTTTCCTGTCATGCGTATTTTCGCACGCGCGCGGATCTGGTCCGCATGCGGATGATAGCACGCTCCTGGTCACACGCAGGACAGGGATTTCGTTTGCTGCCCCCGCAGCCAATCCGCGTTCCGCGCGCGTGCTAGCCGCATGATAGGAAAACCATGTATCAAAAGATAAGATGCGTGCGGCCCGCATGCGGACCAGATCCGCGCGCGTGCGAAAATACGCATGACAGGAAAAGGGCCCTATATAATTTTCAACTGGTATACACGAAAAAAAAATCCGGTCTCCCATACAAAGTCAGTCAGCTGATTGTGAATTTTGTATGGGAGGTCGGAATTTTTTTTTCGTTTCCCAACATTGGCTCCATAGTAAAAGTTGTTCAGTTTGATGGTCTGATCATGCCTGCAAAGTTTTCGTTACACCGTCCCTAACACCCCGTATAACTACTATCTAACCTATACTTTTTCTGTTCCATAAGTTGTACTGGTGCGCTTCTGCATCAGGTAGGTATATGTATAAGAATAAATCAACCCGTTGGTTGAGACCACCACATAGTTAGTAAACTGGGGTTACTTTGATTAATTTTGAAATTAAATTGTTTGTATCTTTTGAATCTATGGTTCTAAAAATAAGCAAAAAATATGCAATAATGGACTGCTGTAGATCTCTAAGAAGAGGTGAAAATAAAAAATAAAATGTTTGTAGATATTGAGAAAAAAAATAAAAACAGCGTGATCAAAGTTATACTGATTTTGGGGTTACTTTGATACTTACTCCTTCCTACCTACTACTACCCTTTCTTAGCATGGAATTCAAAAGAAACACGAATAACTTGTCCAAAAAAAAAAAGAAAAATCAAACTCGGTTAACAGGAACAAAAGTTATTGATGTTTTTAAACTTTGATCAATGACGCCCCGCCACACTTTATGTACCGGATCAATGACGCCCCGCGTTAAATTAAAGGACCCTGTGCCGTAAGTTTCAAAGTTATGAAAATAACAATTTGAGTTTTGGGTTCCTGAATATACACTACTATACAAAGATCAGAAATAAAAATCGTAAGACTTACATTAATTGAGCCGCATCTAAAGTTTTGCAACACTTTTTTTAGCCATAAATCGATATAAAACAAAAGCATGCGTTTTTTTAAAAAAAATACATATTTTGTCCAGCGCCCCCGCAGAAAAGAAATTAACAGATAATCAGTTTAGCCATCGCAAAAAAAAAATCTACCAAAATCAGTCCAGTTTTACGCAATTAGCATTTCAAGTGAACAGGAAGTTTTAATCAAAATCACCCCAAGATTCAAAGTGACCCCGGTTTACGGTACCTATTCACGTCGGTAGTAAACTCGTACATGTTCTACTACGACTATAAATTCGTTTCCCACCGTCGCGCCGCGTCACCACTAAGCTTAGCTGCAACACTGTATTAAAAAACTAAATAAACTGACACTTTAACACACTTAACCACATAATTGAAACATTTTAAGCTATTATGTACAAAGCTTTCTTTTCCTCCAGCCTTTGCATGAAGGAAATAGACATAGAATTCAGAACAGTATTTGTAACAATTCAACTTACATGTTTTATTATAATGAGGTCTAAACAAAACATATATAGATACGCAAAAGTAACATACAATTTGATGTGATGTGATGACTATAACGAGCAATAGCCGGCGATAAAATAAAAATAAAATGAATTAGCGAAGTATGTACTTAGGCCCTATTTTTACAATCTTCTAGTAAAGGACAAGGAGCCTATACGGGGCCTTGCAACTGAGAGCTAGGTGAAGCCTTAGGTATACAAAGAAAAATCTTTTAATCTCTCGCGTAGAGCAAAGAACTACTACACTAACTATGCCTCTAGAGCAATGTCTCAAAGCAAGGACGACGCGAGGGGCGTCTATTTTATGTCAATGTACAGAGA